AACCCCAAGGCTAAGTGAAAGTCAGTTTATAGACACTTGGGAATTTGATTTGTTCACATCTTCCCATCAGTTTAAAAAGATCTATGCTAATATTTCTGTAAAGTAAAATAATAATAGAAAAAAATCCCCGCAACTAATTTCAGAATTCATATGAGAGAAAATTCAAAATGCTTTCCAAAATTCTGGCTACCCTTATAAATTACTTGTTTTCCTTTTAAGATATAGTAAGAAAGTAATTTGACATACAGATGTGCACCCAAATTATTAAAAAAAAGTTAAACAAGATTTGTCTTAGAATGCCAACCAGTTCAGATTTTATTGCTCATAATGTTATTGGGTTTTTTTTCCCCTTTCAGGTGACATTACTCAATCAGTTCATTAATCATACATGTACCTTAAATAGTATTAGTATCTTGTGTTTTATAATGTTAACCCTCAAAAATAGTGGTAATCACAAGATATGGAGTGATGAGGCTTTGGAGAATGCTGTCATACAGTTGTAGCATGACTGAAAACTGTTGGTAGGTACATTACACAAAATTGGTACTATGTGGCTTTATCTTACATTTGTCACAATTTCAGCACAGCAACTGTTGGCTGCAGGTACTGCAAAGTACATTGTATGCATTGTGGAATTACACAGAAATTCCTGGGGCACAGGAGGAACTTGCTGTCTATTCACTTATTAAATTGTTTTCTCTCTTGCTATATATTTAGCGAAAAGGCAAGAAAATAATTATGGAATTAAAATTTATTTTTAAAAAATTGGTTTAGAGGTGGTTTGCACTTAAGAAAAAAAATTGTTTATTTTCAGTGTTAAAATGGCTTAATGTCTAAATGGAATGCTGTAAACAATGTTTTAATTCCTGTTCCATAGTTTCTAATGCATGCCACTGTGGGACCTGTGGTATTGGAATATAATTCTCATCCATTAGAATAAATGCATTTCCCATGATTACAGCACTCTGAAGGCAGGGCAAAAAGCTGTGCAGTTATTTTATGAGATTAACATTGGGAAGTTTAAATCCTTGCTTGGACACCAAGAAATGTTTTTCAGTGGCATTATCAGTTTTCTACAAAACGTCTCTTAAAGTGAGGAGGTGTTTTGTTCCTACAGTTCTTGGCTTCTTTGTACCAAAACTGCTGTCTTGTTTAATGACATTGCTATGTGGGCTGAAATTAGGCTGACAGATTGTGAGCAAAGGCTGTGATATTACAAACAATAGTCTATTGAGCACGAGGAACTTGTTGAATTAGTTACCGGAGGCATTAGTGCTCAGTCCAGCCTCTTTAGCATCTGGAAGACAGAGAAGAAATAGAGGGCTAATGAAATGTCCAAATGACACCAAACTGCAGAGGGCTGCAGGTGACAATGGCAGCTGATGGGTGCCTGGTAAGAGGCAAAAACTAATAATAAACCAATAAACTCACAAAAGGAAAAAATAGTGCATTAGGAGGGAAGGGAGTAGTCAAATCAAGAGAGAAAACCATGTTGGGGTTCCTGAGACTCAAGCACACAGATGATTACCTTTTAAGGGCTCTGCTGGATTTGAGATGGGTTTTCCAGAGCAGACTGGATGGCAGTAGCTTCAGCACACCAGCTCTTCACCATCCATGATTTCCCTGACATCAGTACAATACTCCAGTGCTAGTTTAGGGATCCTGAGGACCCTGTAAAACAGTTCTGAGTGGGTCATCTGTTCCGCATCCAGTTGAGGTTAGCTTGAAGTTGAAAAAGAAACTGAAATGTGCAAAAGGTCAAAGTCAAGGTCTCATTTTGCTCTGTTTTAATTATTCACTTAATAATCTTTTAGTTTCTTATGCCTTGCAGTACAAGTTTTTAATGGTGTTTGAGCTTTAAGCATGAATTTAATTGCTTCTGTGTCCTTCTTTGGGAGTAATTCCATCAAAATTTGCACCTCTGCTCTGTGCTGCAGATAACTTAATCCATATCTGGAGTTGCTGGGATTGCTGGGAGGCATGTGTTTTAGTTTATTAGTTGACAAGATGGACCTAGCCCACCATCTGTGTTCATGCAGTCTGCTGCCTTAAACCTAGAGAATCTGCCAGGATCACATGCACAGCTCAGGCTGAAGTGAATTCCCACACCAAACTTTGTACAGAGAGATCTAAATCTGTGACCTGTAATGCAACTGGAATCTAAACTTCTGGGATCAATACCTTGGACTACCTAAATCCTGAAATATCCAAGAACTAATATTATCCCAGCTATGTAATTTATGCATGACATTTAATGAAAAATAAAGCAAAATAAAGTCACTTAATTAAAAATATTACAAGAGAATAGCTTGGCTTTGCCATTCTTATTTACTTTGGATAATAATCTGTAGGAAATGGTAGTTGAGATTTGAGTTCAGTTGTCAATAAGGGATGGGTCTGACCCCTGTGGCAGAATATGCGCTTAGATGTGTCAGGGACTTCAGCTGAAGCCAGGAGCTGTGGTGTGTTGGCTTTGCTCACCCAGTGCTCTCTCACCCCCACTCCTCACCAAGACAGAGGTGAAAATGGGGTGAAAAAGCTCCTGGGTGGAGGTGTGGACAGGGAGGGCACTCACCAATGGCCTGCACAGGCAAAACGCTCTGCTCTGGGGAGACTCATTTATTGCCAGTTTAAATAGGTTTTCATAGTTAAAATCAAAGAGAAATTAAACCAGTGCCTTCTCCCTGTTTCCCAGCATCATCTTCCCCACACAAGGAGCTGTGCAAGGGCTGAGGGCTAATCCTTCCTTGTTCCCTGCTTCACCCTGGGCCTTTTCCCTTCCCAGGGCTGCAGTCCTGTCAGGAGCACCTGCTCCAGCCTGGGTAATTTGTGGGTCAGTGCTCCTCCAGGAGACACCAACCTGCTCCAGCATGGGTCCCCTGTGGGTCAGTGCTCCTCCAGGAGACACCAACCTGCTCCAGCATGGGTCCCCTGTGGGTCAGTGCTCCTCCAGGAGACACCAACCTGCTCCAGCCTGGGTCCCCTGTGGGTCAGTGCTCCTCCAGGAGACACCAACCTGCTCCAGCCTGGGTCCCCTGTGGGTCAGTGCTTCTCCAGGGACATCAACCTGCTCCAGCCTGGGTCCTTTGTGGCCACTGCTCCTCCAGGAGACACCAACCTGCTCCAGCATGGGTCCCCTGTGGGTCAGTGCTTCTCCAGGGACATCAACCTGCTCCAGCCTGGGTCCTTTGTGGCCACTGCTCCTCTAGGAGACACCAGCCTGCTCCAGCCTCTCCCCACAGGACACAGGGCTCTCTGTCCTGGCTTACGGAGCACCCGTGTCCCTGCTCCTCCTCGCTCCCTGGTTCTCCTCAGGCTCCCTGGTCCCTCTGCCTGTGCAGGATTTTGCCCATCGCTGGGCACATTTTCACACCTGGGCTGAGGAGCTGGGCTGTGCCATGTGGGGCCGTTCTGGAGCCACCTGGGAGCGTCAGGAGCAGGCTGGAAGGGGCAGGGGCAGTGCAGCCAGGCCTGCAGCCCCACTGCCAGCACCACCATGACACCCACCATGGCAAGTGACATTATTTGGGTTCGGCAGAGGTATTCTGGCTTTGCAATAGAGCTGTTTTTTCAAATATTTCCAGAGCCGAGTGTCTCCTTGAGGCGGGCCCTCAGGAACAGATTGGGAGTGTGGAGCAGGTCTCTGCAGAGGGAAACAGTGGAGAGAATTTTCTTCTGAAAAGAAGGATGTGGGTAGGAAAGTAGAGGATAACATTAAAAATAGAGAAGATTATACATGTTCCATTAGTAAAGCCAGAAACAATTTAGGATAAGGTAGAAATCCTGGAACTGTATTGATAAACAGAATTAAAAATGTCTTTTTCCTTCTTCTTTTCCAGCCCAGAGCAGCAGATCATCTGAATTTTGCTGCTCATGCTGGTATTGAGCAATGTGTTGCCAGAGAACCGTCCTATTGACTGCAGTGGGACTTGCTGAAGAGGGAATAATTTAGCTCAAATAACCTTATAAATGCACATTAGAACCCAACAGTATATTTCCAACCCAGAAAGATATATCTAACTGCCAAAATGTATTTGAAACCATAAACCTGGGTTTTCAGTGCTACTTTTTAAAAAGGAATATAATTTAGCATGTGAGCTAAAACATGGGCCTGTCTTACAAGATGAGATAGGTTTTGGATTGGATCAGGAAAATGTAAAGTCTTATTTTTGTAGTATATAAATGAAATGGACAGTCTAAACCCTGTCTCTAAAAATCTTGGCACACTTCAAAGGAAAAATGCCATTTTAGCAATTTAAAAGCACTTAGTGGGTTTTTCCAGTGCTGAACTTCATTTCTATCACTGGTTTGGTTGCATGCTGAATAATGCCATAGGGGACAATGTAGCTCTGACTATATTTAAAAATACTATTCCATGAAATTCACTGGGAACAAGCTGAAGCAAAATCTCATTTGTGTCTTTGGAAGGAGGTGATAGTGGCTGTAAATGGTGAAGGAAAAGGATTGAGATTATTTTTGAATCACAGAAGAGATGAAGGCTGGATCATCTGTGGGGATAGAGGGATGCTTAGAGCAACAGCCAGAGGGGCCAGGCAGAAATGTGGGTACTCTTTAATGTCACAGGGACTTGAACATGAGCAACAATTGGAAAGAAAGAAATCCTAACAGGTGGGAACAAAAAAATATGTGCAGAGACACCATTAGAAAAGTGAAAAAATACAAAATAAGAAACAATTAAAAGGATGTTAGGACACATAATTGGAATATTCAGATAAGAGGAGACAAAAGGTCAACATGATTGAATAATAAAAATCTCTCTTCTTTTTGGTGTATTCATATGCATGTAGCCCACTGCTGTGTTTTTTTGTTTTATGACCACAATGAAGCCTTTAAAAATAATTCTGAACTGTTGTAAGGCCTATTTTACTTGTCTATTTTAACCAATGGAGGTAGAAGTTTTAAAAACTTTTCTCAGCATTGCTCCTGGAGAGTTGATCAGGCATTCATTAAAACACATCCTGTTTCACCTGTTCTTGTAGGGAACCTTGGCCGGGTGGACCATGTCACAGAGTTTGAGTATGACCTCTTCATTAGGCCAGACACCTGCAACCCACGCTTCCGAGTCTGGTTCAACTTCACTGTGGAAAACGTGAAGGAATCCCAGGTAAGTGATAATAAATTACATGGTTTGATAGCTTCAAAAATTGCTTACTCCAGTATATGTTTTCTTTAACAAAAAAGATGACACTCCGGCTTTGCAATTAAAAATTTCTTTAAAATGTCTCTTTGTTCTTTGACTTTTTTATAAACAAAAGCAGGTATCAGCAGGAGAGGGTATGACCATGTCTTTCAGCTATTCAAGACAGGAGGTAATTGCAAAGACAATATAATTTTTGCCAACTAACAGAACTGGTATTAATAGTGGCTGCCATGTATTTGTGCTTTTGCATTCTAACCAAATATGTGTGTTAATATAGGAAAAAGAAGTCCATCATAGCTGTTCAAATATTATCACTTAAGCTTTCATTTAATACCTGTAGAACAATGGGGTAGCTTTGCAAACAGGCATTTCCCTAGTGACTTGTAGCAGAGGAGTTGCTTGCCAACGTGTCCCTTGTGAAAGAGGAGGTTTAAATGTGAAGCAAATTGATAGGCAACTGTTTCACTTACTTTTAAATAATGTTTTTTGCAGTAAAGATGCCCCTTGAGAAAGAAAGTTCCTTGCTATATTTTTTCACTTACTAAAGTTATATACTAATTTTCATATTGAAAAATAATAATAAAAAAATTTCATTTCACTTTTAACATGCACTTTGAATTTTGTTCTGGTGGTCTGACTTAGTTTATAGGAATCAGTCTGTCATTTTTACTTAATGGAAATAAAGACTATTTAGTAAGAGAAAAAAACTGCAGAAACTTGATTGTTGTATTCCTATGAGACTAATATCTTAATATCCAGCACTGTATCATTCCTGTTACAACTGGAAATCATGAAATTGTTTATCTATCGTCCTGGAGCCTGATACTTTATCAGACAGACCCTTTCCCCTGCTGTGCCTTACTCAACTATGATCAAATTATATAGTCATGAGATGAATGGGAATCTGTCTCAAGGAGGCAAAGAGATCGGGTAGAAAGATACAATATATTTCTAGTGCTTACAGGATATTTGTTTTCATGGTTGTCTACATGAAAGAGAATGGTTCCACTATTAAGTTTGACTTGTGAGGTCTGTTTTTATAATGTGTGCTCCTATAATCTTTTTCTCATCTCTCCAATTTCCGTTAAAATGGGACCTGCTTGGACGTAATCTAGTCTGGAACCTTTTTTAGGTCTTTGTACTACAGGCCATGGGCAGCATTAGTCATTGCAGCTCAGCTATATTAAATGAAAGTTAGAAGTTGCTGCGTCAAACATACTGTGTAATGTAATTTATTTTCTGCATTTTGATTATTTTATGTTTTACTAAAAAAAAGTAACAAGGAAGCCCAGACTATTCAGAATTGCTTCAAAATGTTGCAGTAATACAGATACAGAGGAACTTTGATCATATTGTGTGTAAAAGTAGATATTTGAATAGCTCTCTATAAATCGTTACCTGGATAATATTGTATTTATTTTTGATATATCATATAAGTAATGCGTGAAGAAGGCACATCTATACATTTATATATATAAGGTCTGGTTTCAGCCTTTTGGATAAAGACTCACAAAGAGTAGCTGCTTTTGTTTTTTATATTACCTATTGGTGCAGTATTTTGTGTTATTAATCTACTGATAAATGAAAAGAAAGACCAATTAGACATTCCAGCTAATCTTACCATCCATTACAGGTTCTTTCCATTCTTCTGGTTTTAATTTTCTTAAGTCATGGAACTTCCATTTCATATGTCTCAAAACTGTTTTATAGACTCTTCTCACTTACAGTGTTGCTTGATTTTTAGCCTAAAGCTTTCCTTTATTTAATCCCACAATTCCCAGTAGCAATTCTGCTTAGTAATAACTCCTCTTGGTACAAATCAATCCTCATCATCCCTGACTAACATTTATATTTCTGTGAATTATAACATTCCTCATCATTTGTGTGTCAACCTAGCTATCATGTTTGGTTCTTTCAGCCCTATATCCAATAGACCACTTTACCTTTTAAGTAATTTTCTGCCTTGTGGCCTTTGGACTTCCATCATAAGTGAATCAGTCCTTTGATAATTAGCCCAGTTTCCCAAGGAAGTAAAGCTTATATGATCACACTGTCTACTTGCTAGCCTAGGTATTTGTATGGCTGCTGATCCCTGTCGTCTCTTTTCTCCTTCAATAGCTTCTTAACTCTTGTCCAGTTTCAGCACCACTGGACAGGAATTCCTGTAAGTTTTGGGAAAACAGGCTGCCAGATGGGCAAGAGACCCATTAGTGTTCCCACTGGCAGACAGGCTATAGTATGAGATCATTTCTTATTAAACATCAGAGAATCCACAGAGGAGATGAATAGGAGAAAGTACTCATTGGAATTTGCATTTTTAAGATACCAGAGAATCCAACCATGAAATCCAAACCCATAGCATTTAGTAATTTTGCTTCTTGCAGATCTTCTTGTTTTTATTATTATTATTCTTCCTCTTCCAGTTCCTTCAGTGTTTTCTTTATAGTGTGGAACTAAAATTTAATGGATAATTCTGAGTATGCTAATCCCAATTTACAGAGAAGGGGCTCGAGTCCCTTTGCTCTGTTACTGCCTCACTGTAGACAGCTGGAAATTGCAGCAGCCTTTTGTTGCTGTATCACTATGGAAACTCAGGCCTAATTTGTTTTTCCCTATCATACAGAAGTCTTTTTTAGAGTGATTGCTTCCTTGCTCCTGTTACGTATGTCTGAGGTTACTGTTGTGCTTCGTAGGTAATAGAGCTAAGCTCTGTGCCATTCCTGTGACAGCCCTAATATTTCCAGAATTATTTTTAGAATTTTATTATAAACTTGGTTTATTTGATGTTCACTTCCTGATGTTGAAGTAGAACCAACAGACTTTTTTTTAAATTTGGAAGTTGGTAAATTAATTTCTTCCTCCTTTTGATTTGGACTTCTGCATCAGACATTTTTTTGTTATCAGTTTTATTTATGCTTTTTTTAACAATGAAAAAATATTTAAAAAAAAAAGCTAATGCCTTATATTTATGGGGGGAAATGAGCCATCATGGAAGATATTTGCAAGATGTAAAATTTGGTCTTTTGGTCTCCTTACATGGTTTTTGACTTGAGCTAAGTTGGTCTGAAAATATGTGAGTTATGATTATTTTTTGTTACTTGTTTGGTGAATTCAATTAACACCAATATTGGAAAAGAAAAAAAGAAACTGATATGCTATAGTAAGGATAACACATAGACTTCTATGATTTACACATATCCATGAAAGGGAGAGTGAAGGAAATAGGATTTGCTGTGGAACACATGGTCTCATGGGCAAAGCCTTCAATTTCTCTAATTATATACGTGTCACAGGCTGCTCTCTGTTCCTGATAATGCTCTTTACAGGGCAGGGTTTGCTTCCTATTCACTTCAGCCATGGCCCTTCAAACATCATCTACGATTTTGCTAAATTTCTTCTCTGCGCAGTCGGAAATTGGATGAACAAATTTCATCTCCCAATTGCATTTCAAGTATTTTAAATACACAGTGCTTCAGGTGCAAGATTACCTCTGAGCTAGAATGGCTTTAATGCTATTACTAGCAACAGTGATTCATTTGAGCTTTTTGGGAAAAAAAGAAATGTGTGTACGTGTGATAAATTATAAAAAATATGAGGGTATACTGATATTGGAGGATTTTACAGGTGAAAAGAATGATTATTGTTTTTGAGGGCCATAGCCAGAAATTCTTCTTTAGTGCTTAACACTCACTGTTCCAGATACTGTAACCACACTGGAATAAGATGATCTTTGTCCTAGAAAATTTACTTTTGAGCAATTTGAGAAGAGATAAGAGTTAAATACAAGAAAGGGATGAAAGGATTAAAATTATTTGAGGATTTTTGATTTAACACACAGCAGCCATATTATACCACTGAGTAATGCACATCTAGGCCTCATGACAAATTCTGTGTGTGTGTGTACCCTGAGGAGCTCTGCTGTCTGATGAATCATGTTGAGAAATGGTATTTTCACTGAGATTAAAAAAAGAATTTCCAACAGAAGGGGTTTCCTAATAGTGCCAAATTTTGTTCTGTAAGTGTTGATAAACACATTTGGAGTTCTTTATCAGAAAGGTACTGACAAAATATACTAAGAAGGATAGAGGAGAAGAATGGATATTTGGCAGCTAGGACATGATCATTACTTACAGTTAATAAATCAATCCAGATTGAGGTTAAAATCAAAGAACCAAATGTTATTTACTTCAAAGGCATTTCTTCTGTTACTTCAGTTGCTGTTGGACTGAAACTAGAATTTTGACTCATGAAGTTTTTTTGGGTTTTTTATATGTGAGTATGGACAAGAAAAAGGATAGCCTGTTCTTCAGAAATTTAAACCGGATTCCCAGGTAAGACATAGATTATCATAACTGGACATTCTTATGAATGCATTGAACTGTCATTGTAGAATTATGTTTTTTTCGTCCTACAGTGTTTTGTAAAATATAAAAGGTTATAAGATCTCTGTTGTCTTTAATTGATTAGATATTCAGGAAATATTTATTATTGACAGTGTATTTTCTAATATGTTCAGGCCTCTTTTTACTGTCCTAAAACAACTCAATGATCCTTAGCAGACAACTGCTTCTTTATGATGTTACAGCTGTGATTGTTTAAAGATATGAGTGATACGTGTATAGGGGGAGATTATGTCTCTCTTTATACCAACTGACACATTTTGGAGAAGCAGGGAGGAAAAGAAGAAAAGCAGGCATAATTTAAGGTACTCAACCTTTTTTCCTGACCTAAGAACTCATTATGTGCAGTTAATTCCTGCAGAAGCTGCATCCAAAGTAAGATGGAGTGAATATGACATCAAAAGCAGGCTAAAGTTGGAAACAGTCTACCTTTTTACTTTCTTCTTCTTAAGCAGACATGCTCTACTGTCATTTGGGGATTTAAGTTACTGGTATCAAGATGCTTTATAACATCTTATATTCTTTCCAGCTTCTCATTTGAGAAGACAGATATTTTCTTTACTG